ACACTAACACTGAGTCAAATTTTCTAGCTTTGCTTGAATTACATATTTCTTTAAATTTTAGCAAGAAAAATTCAACATTAAAAAAATTTTCAGTTTTCAAATCGATAAATATTTATCATATAAAATTACAGATGTGTATAATTACAGATGTTATGGACAAAGCAAAAATGAAAGATAAACAAAAGGCTTAACTGATTAGAGTGAATTACAAACTCTAGTAAATTAAAATGTGTAGAATCTCAAATACTTACCCTTTTAACTGGCTAAAACTATGTCTAACCAATCTTAGTTAATTAAATCCTGGAATTACTGTATATAAGTAGATAGAGCATTATATTTTAATGTAATACATAAATAACCCATGCCTGGTATAGTGGTCACAAGTTATGTATGATGTTACAATTCACTAAATTGATTTTTTTTTAAGGTTTAGAACCATTGCCAGGATAATAATGTAAATAGGCTTTGCGTTTTAATTGACTAGAATTGCTCGTTCTCAACTTTAAATGGTTAACTATAGACTTATCATTCATTTTTCCATTCTTCGTAACATTCACATCCTCTATTTCACATTAATCTAGTTTTAATTTTCATAGAAAATAAGATTTAACAGAATACAAAGTTGTCATAAAAATAAATATAAAGTATTGTAAAAAGAAAAAAATCCTTGTTAGATTTGTTTTGAAAATATATGGTCTCAAAGAAATATTTAAAAACTTAAATAACATATGATTAATTATGGCAAATAGCATAAGAAAATAAACAAGGTGACCACAGAACAGGAAAAATCTGGGAGAATCTGAGAAATTTTTTTCTGAATGTCTGTGGCAATCCTTGCTGAATAAATTAAAGTTGCTTAGCCAAACGTTAAATCTTAAAGTCCTTAATATGTTTATTGAATGCATAAAAGGAAAAAAAGAGCATTTTAATAAAAAAAAATTATTTTGTTGATCCACTTAGATCAAAAATTATGCAAAAATGATTTAAAAATTCACGATCAAGAATCATCATGAATGAGTTTCAAATACTCATGCATAGTTTTAAATGCATACAGTTTGCCAAATACAATACTTACACAAATTGTACTTAAGAAAGAATCTGAACAAAATATAAAACAAAAATACAAATGAGAATGTAAACTATGATTTCTGTATTTTAAGTTCTGTACAATAAAATTACTGCAAACTAAGAACGAGAAATTTAAATGAATATCGAATTTGTTTAGTTATTTATTTGTTCATACTTTCATTTACTTTAATATTTTTTTTTGTTTAAGCTATTAACTATTTGAAAATTTCTAAAAATACAGTGTACATCCTTTTATGATTAATCTCTTAATCTTAAATGTTGATGAACGGCAATATAATGATTGACTTGAAACGTTCTAACTATTTACATCAACTTTATAGTAATGATGATAAAAAAAGATATTTCTCCTGCCTTTTAAATTTTATACATTTTTTAGGGTAGTGTTTTGTTTCAATAGAAATAGAATTGGTATTGCACAAGTTGAGAAAACTCACAAGAAATTGTTAAAAAACCAGTTGATCCAAACTCAGCCAAGTAGAAGCTGAGAAGTATAGTTTTTAAATACAGTAACTTCTTCTCTAAATTATTTAAAGAAGGAAAACTGCTTCACTGCTTTCGAAAATTCACCTAAATAGCTCAACAGATAAAAGGCAATGTTTAGTATAATAATTGCGACAGCCTGTAAAATTTATTTTCGAAGACGAAAAATAAACAAGTTTTAAAAAGTTATCATAGAGATAAGGAAATGGAATTAAAACTTTCAAGACTATATATATTTATACATATATAATAAAACACTTTATGAACACCTGCAAATTTTATAGTATTTACACCAACCCTTAATTCATATCTATTTTTCTTCGCTGCTGATGATGATTAAATTAAAATATTATTTCTGCCTTATCCTCTCCTTCATTTCTTTCTCCTGTACACTTTTGAAATTGAAAATTCTTCTTTTTAATGCAGTTTAGGTAGCAAATATCTGGCTTTAAGGTAGGCCACACACTGAGGAGGCAAGTGATAAGAAAGAGGTATAAAGATGGCAAATTCTTATACTTCAAGGATGCACAGATGTGATGTGTGCATGCTAATGCAATAGTATGGGAATGCATTCCTTGTATGTCTCTTACTTACCTCCTCATTGTGTGGCCGGCCAAACTTCACTAAGTCAACATCAAGAGAACATGCACTGGAGAAATACTTTGTCGATTTATTTACGTTCCGCCTTACAGGATTGAGATATAGAAAAGTGGTGATTAATGTGGGATGGTATGCCTGTTTGGCCTATCCTACTCATAGTTTCTGACTAATATTGCAGGCTACTTGTCAATATTTGTCAGAAACTATGAGCAAATTCGCAATTGGGTGCTTGTTTGGTATTGAAGTAATTTAAAATATTCAACTTAAAGGTGGTGCACTGAAGTGCTTCAATTTTTTAAATTTTGTGCTTAAAAATATAATGAAACGAGAATACAAATAATTAAAATAAAATAATGACATGCAATAACTGTTTTAGGAAAATATAAATCATAAGTGCTTAAAACAAAACAAAAAGGTGATAACTAATACCTGTTTACGGTGTGCAATGTGCATGAACTGAATCGTGAAGCTTAACTGAAATGAAACAAACATGTCAGTATGGCAAAAAATATATATGAATGCTTAACACAACATAAAAAAGATAAGGATTGTGATAAATAAAAACAAACAATGTTGATAAATAAAAAAGAACAATAATAATAGTTTAACAAGAGACTGCAAAACAATCAGAACCGTAAAATGCTTTATCATAAATATTTTAGAAATTTTAAAAAAAACTTGGTTCACTTTTTCTTGTGACCGGTATTCGATTTTCTAAAAATTTATAGCTTAGGAAGTAAGCAGCATGTAATAAATGCAAGAATATTTTATGAAAAGTTTAAATTTTAGTAGCCATTTTAATTTGCATTACTTTACAAAATAATTTTTCCTATTCATTTCAACTTTATCGAATATATTGAACACTTTTCAACAAATTCCATTATATAAATCAGAAAAAGATGAATTTTTTTATGGTGTGATTTTCCATAACGTAACAAAATTATAATTTTCCTATCTAACTTAATAACTCATTATATTATTTATTAACTGGTTAGTAGCCAAGTTTTGATATCGTTAACAAAACACATAATATCTATATGTGTACAGATATACTTATAAAATTAAACTTAGATTGATAATTCCTAACATTATTAGAGATAAGATTTTTAGAAAGAGTTTTGGTAAGATACTTTGAAAATAGTAAAACATAAAAGTTAATGCCACAACAAAATTACATAATACCTGATGTATAAAAACATTCCAAAAAATTTGCTTGTAATCAGTACATTGCAAGATTAAATCTTTTATTGCATAATGAATTAAAGCAATCTCCAGTTAAACTAATTTAAAATAATAATAATAAAAATTTAATAAGGAATTGTGGGGGAAAAGTGTACATGCAGGTGTTAAATAAAATAAAATCCAGAGAACAAACTGTAGCACTCTCAAAGATTAGAAAGGAAAAAAGAGGAAAGTGTAATAGAACTTCTAGAAGACCACCACCACATCCTCAACCAATAAATGGAAGAATTCTGTCTCACTGCAGAAATTTAGCTTCTCATTCCAACAAAATAGGAATAAATATATTTTAAATTCTACAAAAATCAATGCAGAATTTTTTGACACCTTATACTTAAAATTCTTGACTTATGAAGCAATATTATTTCCTTAGAAAATTATAATTTAACGTTTTTAATAACTGATAAAATTTAAAAAATTAAAATAATTACTTTTCAAAATTAAAAATATTTTTGTTCAAAAAGAAACAAAAATTTTGAAATCTTTTTAAAAAGGGAGATTGCATATGACAAATTTTTCATTTTTATTTTAATGCTAACTGCATGCTAAATTATGAATTTGAAGCATAAAAATCTCAGAGAATTGTTAATAAAATTTGATGTTTTTTTATTTTCCTTTCATATGATATAAATGTCTAAAGTCTTTTAATGTGTATATGAATTACTTAGTCTTAAGATGTCATTTTGAAGTTACTCAATTAAAAAGTATGCATTGAATTAAAATAATAAAACTTTGAACCAGAATTTTCAGGGAGATAGAATCAAAATAAAATTGGTCATGTGGCATGCATTATCTTTAAGAGTAGTGCTATGAGCTATGTTGGATTTTATGTTTAAATTTTGTTTTTTCCATTTTTTTAAAGAAATTTTTTGTGATAGGGCATTATTTTATAGCAGAATATCTTTTGAAAAAATGGGACTTAGAGGCTCTATGCTAAATTTCTGCAGCTTGAAAAGGGAGGAGCCAGTGGGCTAAATGGAAGAAATACTTTTCTTCAGTACAGGCGATAAACTCTACTCCAGAGACTGCTGCTACTGGTGCTAACTGAAGAATGTCGGCTGAAAGGCGACCTAGATAAGGACTGAGAGGAAGAAGAGCGAGAACTTGAACGTCTTCGTTTACGAGGAAAACTCACTGATCGAGCCCTAGAGAAGTTATCCCCATGTTAGTTGTTAAAACTTTAGATCAATAAGTGATACATACTTGTAAAGAGAAGTAGTTAGTCTTTTTAAATGATTTGAGAGAAAACATTAAAAACATCAGATTATCAATATATTAGAATTAAAATTTCATTAAATTGATTATAATGGTGAAAAAGTTTCAAGTAAGAAAATAAAATAATATTTTTATTAATTGCTAAAGAAATATGTTTTAAACTTTGCCAATGTATTTAGTGCATGACTCATATTAGAAGTAAGTGCATAAAGACATTTGCATCTATACACTTACCTCTCACGTCATACATTTGTTTCCACTATTCAATCAAAAATACATGGGATTAGGTAAAAACAATCAATATTAAGCAAAATAAATTGTTTTCAGATGCTAGTATTCAAAACGCAAGTTAAAAACTATTAAATACTATCTGATACCTGGTGATACGACGTTTATCCAAAAAACTCGGAGAGCCGCGGCGTCGAGGAATGGACGGACTCCGAGCTATGGATCGTGAACGGGAACGAGATGAATAGGAGCGGGAACGAGACCTATATCAAACAAAAAGTTTTAAAATTTGTACAATTTCTAATAACTTACATATTTTAATGTTCACATGATAAAAATAGTATCAGAGTAATCAAGATCATAGAGCAGAAAAAGTACACAAAAGAACAAAGTAAAAAATTAATTAAACTTAATTTAATAAAAAAATTAATTAAACTTATAGCTTTATAATACAAAATATTACCTACATACAATAATATTATAAAGTTATTCAAAAAGATGGTCCTAATTTAATAATTTTGTATTTAACTGAGAATGGAGTATGTCTGGATGCATAATCTAGTGTGAAAGCACCATAACTAAAGATTTCTCTACCCGTAAACTAGATCAAAAGTATTACAAACAGAAAATGCCCGGCCATAGTCTATAAAGAATAATAGCAGGTGGTAAAAACGCAAGTATTTTCTTTGGAAGAGGGAACTCTATTAATTCTTTTTCTAGAAGAGGGTCACATTGAATCTTTTAATGAAGTATACAATGGACATGAGCAATTTACATTCTAATAAAAAATTTTTTTAAAGCGTCTGAAATAAAGATTAAACTTAAGAGTTTCAACTCGTCCTGCATGATTTTTATGTAGCTGCCGGCCGTAAATGCTATTTCCCAACCAATATAATATTTACTATGCTAATGCGAACCAAAGGGGTGGTAAAAGCTTTTCAATTGAATCCCTCTTTCTAAATAACCCTATATATTGAATAATCCCACTCTTTTTAATAAGTCAAATATTTGTGTGATGTATAGAATAACAACATATAAGAATGTAATATGATGTTAAGTAATGTAAAATAACTTTTAAGTTATTTAGAAACTGCAAGTTGCATCTTTATAGCAAACAATTTTAAAGATAAGTCATAATTATTTTTTGTTTGAATATAAAATAAATCTAAAATAAAATGCAATTATCCCTTTATAACTTTTTAACATTAATATGAATTTTTTAATATTAGTAGCGTCTTTTACTTAAATTTTAATAAATGATAAATAATATTTGGTGATATTCTACCGTCAGAATTTTAATATATGCTTTAAATATGTGATTTTCTGAGTAAAAAATACTAAATATATTACAGGATCTAGTCTGAGAATTACATAGAGGGAGATTAATAATTTTGCAAAATTTTATTGAAGTTTCATTCATTATATAATTATTATAAAAATTTATACAATATGTAATCTCAAGAAAATCAGTGATGTAAGGATAAAAATAATAGTAGAGTGGAAATATGCAGTCTAGGTATGCAAGAAATCAAATAATCCTATACTGATTTCTGAAGAAGATTGACCTCCTAATTTTTTAAAATTTTAATTTGTTAAATAACTTTGTATGGAAATATATGTGCAATGAAATATTTTAAAAATAGATTAAAAAATAAAAATTTTAACTCAGGGAAAAAACTAACACTTGAAAATGATATATTACACACATACAAACTTTCCAAAAAGGCTTGAAGTTTAAATTTGTTATGACAATACAAAAGTGCCTAGTGGCCAACATGAAACAAGAATTTTTTTTGATGCAGATTTCATGAAAAAAATAGATTTAAATTTATAGACAGTGAATACCAAGGAAACTAATTTATATAAGCAAGAAATAATATAATCAAGAAAATAATATACTTAATGACCAAGCAAATTTACTCACTGTATACTTAATTTTACAATTTTGAACAGTATGAGAAATCAAATTGTAACACATTTTTGAATAACATATAAGTTTTATTTTAAAAAAATTAATAACAAAAACTAAATACTTTGAACTAGTTAAAAAAGAAAAAAAAAATTCTGAATTTTTGATGAGATAGATGTTTTTAACTGATTACTTTAAAAGAGAAGGACATGTTTTAAAATTTTTTTTATGTTTCATTCTCACTGCATTATTTAAAAATATTACTCGACTAAATTCCCAAGCTAACAATAAGCCAAGTAACATAAGTTTGAGAGGAACTTATTTAATTTAAGGAAATTTTTTTAAATTATTTATATAAAAACCAGTAGAATCCTTAATTAAAGTAGAGACTGGGAAAATATGACAAAATCTAAAATAATTATTATACAGAGTTGGCAGCTATGCAGACATGAATCTGATTCATTCTGTATCCTCCTACACAATTAATATATATTGGGTTTAATGTGTGTCACCTTTATTTCACTTAAAAACATTTAAGTCAGTTATACAATAGGGACACATATATTAATAAAACAGAGCATTTATGTTTTAAGTTATTTTATATCCGTGGCTGAACAGTCGACCCAATTTTGGGTTTACGATAACTAATGTTCAACTGCGTAGCCTTGTAATTTTGAACCAATCCAGAAAACAAGGAAAATTCTGGATCAGTACCTCCAGAGGTATTGATTTGTTATGGAAACATGGAGGACTTAGCAACTCGACAGATTTAACGTGCATCAGTCACCATTTACTACACGAGGAGTTTTCGGCCGGCGGGGATCGAACCCATGAACTCCTGGACATGGGCCCAGTGCCCTACCAACCAGGATATCTCAGCCTTATATTTTAAGTTAGTAATTAGTCACCGCTTTATGATAATTAATGTAGAACAAAACTGAATGTAGGGTTTAATGGCACAAGGTCTGGAAAGAACATGCAGCACCAAGAAAATTGGACAATTAAGGCAATTTTGACATTTTAAGTAAATTTGTGAGGCCAAAACACTGGCCAAAAACAAAAAATATAAATTATGAAGCAAATTAAATATGCTTATTAATAAAATAATAAATCAATAAATAGAAAATTATAACACAAAATGAGGATCATAAAAAAGTAAGAATTTTCGAGAGCTTTCAAGACTAAAATATCTTCACTACATTTTCTAAATAATGTCTGCTTAAACTATCATAAAATATTTTTTTGTAACTAAATTAGTCAATAAGTTCCCATTCAATATTGCTTACTTTATTTTAGTATTCTGAAAAACTTATCTAAATTTAAATGAGTTTTTTAACGAAATCATTGCAGTGGAAAGTATGCACAATTTTATATAATTCCTCATATTTCTGTTGAATGTCACTTATTTCTTCTTGAGGTATCATTTTCTTTTAAACAAATAAATGAAAAAAGAAAAAAATTCAAATTGTATATAACTGATTGAAAATTCGTACTTTTTATTTTTTCATTTAACTTGCGATTTAATACAAAAAAATCTATTTGATGTAATTATTACTTGGAAAAATATAAATTTTTTATTTTCCATCTCATTGTTTATGCTCATATTATGCTTATGCTCATTATGTTATGTTTTCACTCAATAATTAAAGTATATAAAATAGATCATATTGAACAATTTATAAGTTAGAAGTGCTTTGGATATAGATTTTCAATTAGGCTATAATAATAATAAAATTTTTATAATAGCAATTTCTACTGAACAAAATAAGAAAGTGTTACAAAATACCATACTTAAGTTCATACTTAGAAGTTAACAAATGGATATTCATAAATTTAGGCAAAATTTAAAAACAGTTTTTAAAACAATTTACTTACTTTTACCTGAAAAAATAACAAAAATACAAGACTATAAAAGGATAAGTAAAATTAATTGAACAAAAAACATGGTGCAATATAAAAACTTATGCAATATTGCATAAAAAATACTAAGTAAACATAAGAAGGTGAAATGATTTGCATGCTTTAACTTTTAAAATATAAATTAAACTTTGAAAACATAAACACAAACCTTGAACAAATTGATACACTTCCACTTCTACTATAACTTGCAGAACAACTTCTGCTGTGACTCCTACTGCGACTATCTCGATGACTCCGGCTTCTACTATGACTGCGACTTTTGCTGTAGCTTTTACTCCTGCTTTTGCTGTAACTTTTACTGCGACTTTTGCTGTAGCTTCTGCTTCGACTTCTACTAGATCTGACACTATGACTTCTGCTGCGACTGTGTGAAATGCTTCGACTTCTTGAATTCCTAATTTTTCGAGAACTATCTTTCTTGCTATGACTCGAACTACTCTTTATGTGAGGACTACTTTTTGAAGCATTTTCACTTTTTTTAGATGCATTTTCATTTTCAAATACTGTTGGCCTTTCAGAATCTCTTGAATTATTTACTTCTTTTGTTGGTGAAGTTGAATACTTTTTGGCAATTGGACCTTCATCGAAATCTTTATTTGGTGAAGTTTTACTTGGCTGAACTCCATTCGAAACCGTCACCCATTTACCTTTGTTTCGACTGATGTTTTCTTCAGGCAATTCAGTAGCAACAGTGCTGCTTTGTTCTTTTGGTTTATTTGAAGGAGAACTACTCATCTTTCTAGAAGAATTTGGCCTGTCTGCTTTAGGACTTTCTTGATCACTAACAATAACTTTGTGGGTAGTTATTTCTATTGTCTGAGTCTCAACTTGTGGACTGCGACTACGTTTCTGAATCTTAGAATCTGCGTCTTTTACAATACGAGTTGGAATTTCATAGTTTGAGTCTCTGCGACTATGTTGTAAGTTAGTTTTAGATGAACTGACTTGAGTAGTGTCATTGGAATTTGAAGCATAATTTTTGCTTTGAGGCTGTCGAGATTCATTTGATGAGTGAGTTTTGTCTAACTTTGAATCGGAATACTTTCTCCTTTCATGAGATGGACTTCTACTAGAACTTCTACTGCACTCATCTGCTTCTTCTCTAAATCGTTTCTTTTTCTTTACATGTCTCTTAGCATCATCAGAATCTGGACTTAGAGATCTATTGCTATCAACAATCTCTCGCTTAGATTTGCTTTTAATAGTACGGGGATAACTTGGACTCTTTGTTCTTGTATCTGTTTCTAACTTTTTCTTTCCTGAATAACCTGACTCTCCATTCGATTGCTGCTGAAATCTTTTGGATTCTTTATCTTTACTATATTTGCTATCAGATACAGGAGACTGACTTTTTTGCTTACGATTATGTTTCCTGATGCTTTGTTCTGGTGAAGAGTTCCTTCCTGACTTCTGAGATTTTTTATATTTTTCTTTTCGAGGAGGTGATGGAGAGGGTGAGGCCGATTTTTGACTTCTCTTTTTAACAGGCTCATTATTTGGTACATAATCTGGTGATTGTAAAATATGCTTTTTATGTTTATAAACAGGAGGAGATTGTGGAGGAGTGGCATGAATTTGCTTTCTATATTTAGATGAGCCAGATCTAAAAAATCAAATCATTCAATGTTTATATATAATGCAGCAGTGTAATTGATCACAATGTCAAGCACATGATATAAGAACTTTAAGAAGTGCATTTTAACAGGCATTGGTTTAAAAAAAAAGTAATAAAATTGTTGGCACCATTGGCAATTTTGAGTTTCACTGGTATCAGCAACCCTGTTCCCCGCTCACTTAACTCTTCTTTAAGCTCTCCTGCTCATTGCTTTCATTATTTAACTTTGATTTGATAACTATTGTTTTATGGTTAATTGTAACTATATTGTGGAATATTATTATTCATTCAGAATCATTTAATGAACTATTTTTGTTATTGTTATTTTTGTTTACAATAAAAACTGTTATTGTTTAGGAGCTATTTCCTTGAGTTATTGATTATTTCCTATGGATAATAACTTATCAAGGTAGGTTGGACCCTCCAAAAATATTAAATAAACTTTTCCAAAATTATTACATAAAATAAATAAAAAAAAATTTAAATTTCGCATTAGTTTTAATTAAATGCTGCAGTAAATTAAAAAGTTTTAAAAAAAGACTCAGAAATATTTTTTTTAAATATTCACAGTTGAAATATTCATTGAAATTAATGGCAAGTCTATAAAAAAAATTAAAATAGCTAAAATATTTTATTTGAGACAGAAGATTAAATAAGGATAGTAGTTAAATCATGAAAAAATAAAGCCCTCTCAATAGTTGGTTCATTTTTAAAATTTTATTTTAGAGAAATTAAACTCTAACCTTGCACTTTTTTTAGAGACATCAGATTCAGGAGAATATGATTTAGTAGCAGGCTTAGAAGTCCCATTGCGCTTAGGAGAAGGAGAGTCATATTTGCTTTGTTTCTTTTTGCTTGAACTGGATTTTTTGGTGTATTCTACACTTTCCTCCTGATAATTATCTTTCCTTTTTTTCGGAAGAGCATCCCTAAAAAATTATAAGACAAACATTAATTTACATTGCTAGATAATATATAAGTGAGGAACTTAAGGAATGCTAAGCAAACATATTTTTTTCTCAAACTGTATGTTTTAGGGAATTGAAATTGATATAAAAGTAAATATTTATTAAACTCTTAATTTAGGGTTTATCAAAACCAAAACACAAGATTCCAGAAAAGGAGAAAGTGTAATACTAATTTGTCAAAAATAAAAGTAGCAATACCAGAGTGTTTAGGTACACTTACAAAATGTTACGCTGTAATAACCACCCACTGTTTTGGCCATTTCTTTGTTTATGGGGTATAATAAGAAGTACAGGCACGTCTCACTAATTGCTATGTAACAATCCAAAAACCAACCTCGAAATTTACCATAAGATTGCATTAATTATTTAATAAGAGCAAACATAGCACCAACCACACCAAGATTTTCTTTCACACCCAATTTTTTGTTCAAAATTTAAAACACTGTTCTTAGTGAAAATGCATGTGTCCTCAATTATTTGGCACACTTTGATACAAAGATCACATAAAAGTATATTATGATATTTATCAATAATTTTGGAGAAAGTTAATTACACGAGATATCCTGAATCAATGCTCATCACTTTTGAAATGTACATCCACATTTAAACTCTTCACCCCATTGTAGACAGTCACAAACACAGGAGTAGGTGTGGTATGAACTGCATTCGAACTCAATTTTAATCTCCTTTCAATGTTGAACTTTTTAAATAAAAGTGTTTAATAACCACACGGAACTCATTTCTTTCCATTTTTCTTGAAATTAGTTTTATAAAATCGGCTAGGACAATAAAACTAAACATAGATTAAGTTTAAACTTTATCAGTCTTGTAAAGAATAATGCTTACTGGAAACAAATATTTTTTAATATGAGCACTATCTTTATTAACACTTAAGGTCTTATAGAAAAGTCTGAATGCTTTCGGGTCCAAACTTCAAAATTTGTGAGCTTTATAAGCTTACATTGAAACCAATTTAAATGAGAAAAGAATTCTCAAAATACTTAGCACAAATTTATTTAAATAGAGCTAAGGAAAAAAAAAAGATCATTAGAAAGTTCTTGACACCTTTATTCAATAGAAGATAAACCTCAGAGAAGCTTACATATATATATATATATATAAGTTCAAAATGTAGAGAAAACATGGAAAAAATTACAGAATAATGAAAAAAGAAAATTATTAAATTTTTTTGTGAAATCCTGAAAAAAGATATAATATAGATATTATATCTTTTTCTTTCGGATTTTTCTTTCCCGAATATTTTTTAAAAATAATTTTCCTCTTCTCTTTTTCATTATTCTGTAATTTTTTCCATGTTTTCTCTAAATTTTGAACTTATTTTATGGGTTCGATATACTTGCAGCTTATGCACAGTAAATAAAACTTATTTATTTTCTTAATTTTCTCCTTGTCCTTTTTGTATTCATTTATTGTGCTACATACATAGATATATATGAACATAGCATAAAGAATTTAATTAACATGTCCTTTAATTAAAACTTTTAACTCTGTAGTTTTGATGTAAATAATAAGAAGAAAAAAACGATTCAGGAAAAAAAAACTTATTTAAATTTTAATTTTTAAAATGTCCCCATTAATGAAAATACAAAAAATTAAATGCTTCATGTAAAGAATGAAAAGTTTCGGTAGAGTAAACAATTTAACAATTTAAGGCAACAAACACCCAAAAACAATTTAAGGCAACTTATAACTCCATTTGACATTCATTAACTATAAAATATTGTGTAACTCACTCAGAATCAGGAGAGACAGATCTAGCTTTTCGATTCTGTGACAAGTGAGGACTGTCATTTGATCTAGATTTATGATGTCTATGTTTCTCTGGAGAATGACGATGGTGCCCTTCTTTATCTGATCTAGAACTTTTATAAGAAGTTGACTGCTTAGAGCCTTTGTCTGTTTCCCTATTAATAAAAGAAAGACATTTTTATTTACATAAAATATTAAATGCAAGAGCACTAAATTCAAACAGCTGCTTTTTATATAATAAGAAAAGAAAAAAAAAAGTTCTTTTTTAATTTTTAAGAAAAACAATTTTTAATAAGTATAAATAATGAATAGAGAGTAATTAGTTATTATGTTATGGGGATTTTTATATATTTGGCAATGAAATTTTTTATATTGAATAAAAAAAACGTTAATTAAATCATAATTAAATCATCCTATATGAATTTCATTTGTCATTTTTTAAATTAAAATTATGGAATTGGGTTGTTTGCTATGAGGGGTACCCCACCCTCCGAAAAAAAAAAGTACCTACCATTTTCAGGAAACAAAAAAATGAATATACTATAAATATTTTCTTATTAAATTTACAATTTTATTTAGCTAATTCTGAACACAATGTAAATCTAACAATTATTTAATTTCTAGTAATATTTTGCAAACCATTATTTTTAAAAGGCACAACTAACATTGCGGAAAATCGACTGTCTGGACTGACACAATACTTTTTTCATCATCTGAAGTGGCAAAGCATATGAGTTTAGAAGGGAAATGGGTGAATTAATAATCACGAATCAATTTCTTTAAAAATTGTTATTGGATTGATTTGATAATTTGATGGATTTTTTTAGGTTCACATTTTCATTTTAGCAACTTTCTTAGCAATTGACTGATATCATAAGAAATGCACTTCCATCCAACTTAAGCTCTGATTATTGATGCACTTTACCTATTTTTCTTTTTTTTTTACCATTAAAAATTATTTGTGATAGGATTATAAATTATTGATACACTAAAAACAACTCAAATGATAAAATTATTTAAATAAATTTTAAAATCACATCTAAAAAAAATCCAATTTCTGTAAAACTTAGCCACAGTCATAAATGTTATTTTTTTATCCATTATTTTGGGTCAGGTTTTACATTGAAGATACAATAAAATAAAAAAAATTATCCCCCAACAAAAAATATTTTAATGAAATATTAAAAATATCTACTATAAATAGTAAAAATCATCCTCGAAACTACTTATATAAAATTTCAAAAAAGCATTTAAAATACAACAAGAATCACATGCACCTGCCCACCTCCCCCCAAAAATAGTTATGACGACTTGTCCCCAAGACCCCTGTGGGCATCCCAGGTTTCTACTGTTTTAACAGAAGTAATAAAGTCAATGATTTGAATTTTTGCTTACCTTCCCGAATAGTGTTTTGAAGATTTAGCTGAAGTTGGAGAATCAGACCTTTTACGTTTTTTGCCTTCATGCTTAGATAATTCCTCAACACTGGAAGAAGAATGCCGAGATCGCTTCTTCTTGTCATATTTTTTCAGTTCAAAAGCATTATTAGTAGGTATTTCAATTATTTGATGATGACCTTTCTTATGCTTTGACTTTAACAGGACTGGTTCGAGTCTGAAATATTGCTTTGGTGATGAGCTTCTTGACGAGGATGATGATGAAGAATGAGATGGTTTTCTTTTCCTTTTTGCCTTCTATAAAATTTTTAGTAAAAAATTAAGAAAGCAATAAAAATAAGGCAAACATAAAATCTAAACAATACATGCAAGATTGAATTTACTAGAAACTAAATGCAAGATGGAAAGTTGTAGGAATAAGAAGAAAAATTCTTAAGAGAAATTGTTCGCACAGAATAAAATGTTTTTACAGTAGGGATGCACAAGTTTTTTCAGAAGAGGGCCGTAGAAAGATAAATTTTGCTTTTGGAGATTTGCTGAATGCTTATATTGATTATAATTTATTTATCCTTTTAATAATATGTTTATGTAATGAGAACAGTATAAATTCGTTACTAAAAATGAAAGATAAAGCATACTTATAATATTTTTGAATTTTAAAAAAAAATTTTGAAGTTTTGCATTTATTGACTTTAATTAAATTATAACATGTAATTACATAACAGGTTATCAGTTTTCTCTATTGAAAAACTATACTTAAATTTTTTTAGTAAACCCTAAAACTTCATAAAACATGCTTTTTTAAATAAAAATTTTCTTTAAAAGACACCTATCACTACATTTTGGGACTTTACTGCTTTAATTTTGGCATTTTTTATTAAAATTACTTTAAAAATCATTTCTAAAATTTAATTTATCAATAGCTTTTCGAATTCATCTTTGGATGCAAGGCAGAGGGACAATCATTGACCAATCAAGGGTCCCCAGGCTGAAAGTTGTGCACCCTTACTTTACAGTATTATTTTGTCTGAAAATTTATAGTAAGAATGAATACTAGGAAATATATTTATAACTCTAACTGAAATAGAAAAGAATGACATAGTAATAATCTATACATGTTGCTTTAGGTTTCAAATATAATTATGAAAAGTAGTTATTTTAGCTTGGCTTAATTAAAGAAATGTAAAAACATGCACCAATCAACTTACTCTGGTTTAAAATCCCCTGGAACTTGAGAGATCGCATTTAATGAGGCAACAAAAAAACTTAATATTTAATTTGAAAAAGAGTAACACTATCTTAGATATAATCCCGCAATGCAAAATAACAAAAACATATATTCTGTTCTAAGCAGCATTTTTTTTTCAAACACAAATAAAAGTAAAAACTATTTCAACGAAAAGAAAATTTATTATCAGGAAAGTTTTTTTTACACTTAAAATAATAATCTACAAAACAAGTTGAAGAGCATTTCATTGTTAATAAATAATAGCACATACTAACCAATATAACAATCAATATAAATGATGTTATCTTTTATATTGTAATACAGCTTAACAAGTATTACCATTTTATTTTATAGCACTGTTTAAATAATTTACAGTAAAAAAATATTGTCTTGTCAATTTTAAGGTTATAGTGAAAATTAAAAAAGTAACACTTAAAACAACTCATAATAGAACCTTTTTAAAAAAGATAACCTATTGCACTTAGAACTTGAATTTTGTACCACATCTTCTTCATAGTTATAGATAACTACTTGGTGCATATACAAACTTGTTAACCTTACATAATAATAACATTTATAATTGGTGCTAGATAATTTTATTATCTAATTAAGTGCTCAATTTCTTTAATAAAAAAAATTAAAAAAACAAAAACAAAAAACAGTCAGCCAAAAAAGAAAAACAAACTACTTTAGATCTGAGAATAGTTATTATAAAGAAAATTTTAAGTTATAAAATCAGACACAAAAAAAATACTCCCCACCCCCCCATATACATTTTTGAGCCAAAATGTTTTGAGCCGAAAAAATGTGGCTTCCTCATGGATTAGTTTGAACTCCTTACTATTATTTTTCATATACTTGTTTTTACAGAAAATATTTAAATTTAATTGCACAAATTGAAAAATATTTTGATTTGAAAAACTAGCTTAACTAAATATAATTTATATACACAAACTATTCTTCAGATATATCAGATTATGAAATATAATAGTGTTTTTCTTATGTGTGTGTGTAAAAGTGTTTCCTACACTTATAGATGTAATGTGCTTTTATTTTTTTATTTTTTTGGCAGAGTTTTATATCTATATTTATATATAAAATATACACATATATATATAAAATAAGTATGCGAATACTTATAAACTTAAAATAAGTCTAAAATTAGAAGGTGTGCCCCCTAATGCTAAGCCAATCATTCAAATTTTGTTCTTTATTACAATCATAGTCAACTACAAGTACTTTTTTAAATAACTACAAACAACTTTCGAAATGCAGTTACTGCATCACTACTTCTAGGAAACAAATCTTGCTGTAAAACTTAATTTACACCCATGTTCAAAATGGTTTTTAATAAAAAATTGGCACATTTAAGCAAGAGTTATTAACATACATGGGTATGTTACTTTTAAAAAGTAACGAGTAAGTGCGAAACAAAAGTAATGCTTTTAAAGTACATTTGAGAAAATCGAAAATTCTAAGTAACCATAAATTTCATTAAAAAAGCTAAAGAAAAGTATAATTTCAATTTAAAATGCATTAATTAAAAATGTATAAAACTTTAGAATGCATGAAAATATTAAAAATTTGGTTGAAAGAGTGAACATCAAAAATATTCAGAAATCAAAATTCAGTGTCAGCACATAAAAAGGAGTTTTATTAATTTTAAAACTACCAAATTTTAGAAATTTTGTTTTTACTTTCAGAAATTTGTAGTAATAAATTAATTCTTCGAACAAATTTAATAAATATTAAATTTTTTTGTTTAAAGAAATTGGGAAAAAATTAGAAAAATTTATACATATACAGATAAATCCTTTAAATCCATTAAATTAAAAGTTATATTTCATTTTTTAAAAAGATAAGAAAAAGTAATAATTTCAGAATTTTAAATAATGAAGATTTTTTAATTTGCAATATAGATATTCCATATAGAATCCACTCAACAAAAATTCATCACAAAAGTTATGTTTTTAAATTTGCTTACATGAATTAAATGTTTGCATGGTGAAATTCAAAAAGAAAAGAAATAATAAGACTCTGGTATTTTTTTAACTACTTACTATATTTTTATTAAATGAAGCATAACTTTCATTTTTAACATTTATTTTTAAAAAAATTAAGCAAAACTCTCGATATTAGTTTACATAAATATTAACACCGAGTCCCTTAATTAAAATAATTCTAAGAAAAGGGAATATTTAGTTTGGGTTTTAAACATGTAAATTTTGTTTAAAAAAAATGGAGCTTTCATACATTGCAGACCGATGATATACCAAAATGGATTGTGGATGAATGAATTGTGAAAATGCTGAAAAGAACAATATTTTTTGAAAGGAACCAAGCTTTTTGTCTAATTTACGACAAGAATCGACACGGTACAGGAAAAAAAAATCACATTTTGGAAAAGGGGAAATTAAGCACTTTTTAGAAACACCTCTAAGGGCTTTTAAAAAATGAAAATTGAAAATAAGCACTTTTTAAAAATGCAATGCACCCTGCTAAAAGTAGTTGCCAGGCATCGCTCCAAACTAGTGTCTTATTTTATCGCATTACTCAATACACTACTTTTTTTTAGAAAGTAGTGATTACAGTAGTTTCACGACTTGTATTACCCTACTTCTGACCATTGGTCAAACTACTTAACATAAGTTGCAAAAAATAAAGCTTCAAAAGAGCTTTTCAATTGATATACTTTAAATTTTTAAATTAAATAATTTATAACCTCACAAGTTTTGAATATCTTCTTCCATCCTAAGAGTTGAAAGGAAATACTAATGTTTTGTCTGATTTTACACCTTAAAATAGTACATATATTTATGATGGTTGAACCATCCAGGTTACTAAAACATAATTAAGATAACATAGAAACTGAATTATTAGATCACACATTATTAATGTGATAATTAAAAAAATATTTTTCTTATTCGGTTGACTGTATACACAGTGCCTACAAATACTACTTTATTCATATTAATGTACAACATTAACAAGTGTAATTGCTTGTTATATGCTTAAAAAAAATATCTAAAATCATTAACATGGCTGTTTAAATCTAGTTATATAGACAGTGATTAGAGAGATTTCTTGGTGTTGCAGTGTATATCGTTCAAATAGAAAACAATTAACTGCGCAAATTTTTTAATTAATATTCAGTGATAAACTATTTTTGTACATATATTGTCATATTGAGGCGTCAAAGTAACATTTTGGATAGAAAATTAAGTTAAACCTGACATATTATTATTAAAATGTAAAGTCCTATCATGTCAGTAAAATATGAAGCGTTCAAATAGTAATAATTATAAAAATAAGATATTATAATAGATTTACAAAATAAATGAAATAATGTTTAAATTTTTATTAAATTACTACATACCTAATTCAAAATAATTTAATGGATATCTGATTATTATTAGTTACAAAAAAATTTAGAATTCAGCTGGCCAAAACAAAACTTAAATACTTACATTACATTATCCTACAGTTGTTGTTTAATATTGAAATAAAAAAGGACAACATTCAGAAAAATATCAATATAACAAAACACATACATGTAGATACTGCATAATTACATGTAATAAATTCTGATTATCTTATAAACTTATACAAAGGGAAAAAATATTAAAGAAAAGTGTCTTACGTTTGAAAACTTTCACAATTATATATTTATACGGTTTCAAATAAAATGACAAAGTAATTAAGTTTCATGCTAAGAGGTAAATTTAGTTTTTTCAATATTTAAATAAAGTTTATTGCTTTCAGTAAAAGTAGTACCAGCATTTAAAAAACTTGAGTGCTTGTGAAGTACTTGGCTTAACTAATTTAATCTACTTTTTCTCTCCCTAAAACTAACTTTTTAATAGTTCATACAAGTCCTATGTCTATTATTACTTTTCATAATATAAAAGTTTTTTTAGAGTAAACTTATTATTTTTTATTTAAAAAGTAATTAATTATATTTTTTCCTTGTGAAAAAATTAACAAACTGAATTGCAAAAATTGTTAGGTAAGTAAATTTATACAATATTTAATATCAAAAACTACAAAAGAAGGATACAATTTTGCTTAAAATGAGAAAAAAAATATTTTAATTATATTTTTTACTATTTTTTTACAACAATATAAAATACAAAAAAAAAAAAATAAATAAATAAAAAGAAACAAAATATAATTTCGATTTTACACTCAAAATTTAATATACTTCTATGAAAAAGAACAGAAACATAATATTTTAATTACTATTGATAACACAAAATATTTCCAAACTACCATACTTGATGAAAGTCTTACTAATTAAATGCTTCCGATGATTTTTTAAATTAAATTCAAGGAATAACAAGGTTATTTTAAAAGAATATCATATTAAAAAAAAAGTAATTTTGTTCTTGTCATTTGTATTTTTCATTAACATCTCAAATCAACTCTTCCTTTATAAGAATATTTGAATGAGGCAAAACAAGGAAGAATAAAATTCAACTTTGCTTATTCATTAAATATACAAACCTTAAAATGTAGGTCAGTTCTGGAAAAATACAAACTGTTATAATCAATCGTTAACATTAAAACATAAAATTATTTAGAGTGTGAAAACAAAATAAATTTTCTTAACCATATTAATTGAATTTTAAAAAGTGTCAATAAGGAAAATTTGGCTTTAAATTCAAGAGGAACTATTATTTTAAATTATTTTTTTTCTTTTGAAAAGAAATTTTATCAAAACAAATAAAAATTTGAAACAAGTTATAATAAATATTTCTAGTGGAACATTAATTTTTTGTACTTGCAATGGATTTTAAATAATTTGGCACTATAACATAGTGTGTGTCCTGAAATACGACTGATAAATTCCTAAATGCAAGAAATTTTATGTGGATTCTATTAAATTCATGAATTTATATTTAGAACAATTATAATACTTTGTGTGAAAAATAGTACCCGTTTATATGCAAAAAGAAATTAACTCATGCATAAATGCATTTGCTCTGTAATGGTAAAAAAAAAAAAAAATGTGTATAAAATATAATCCTAAAAAAAATGATAATAACGACAATAGTATCTTAGAACAAAAATACACTATAAAACCTAAAACAGATAAATTTTTGGAGTAAATGAAAAATATTAAATTTTGATTACAGAACATGTTATTTTGTAACTTAACTCATGGTACCATAAAATAAGACAATTTTAATATGAATATATTTTGGGAAAAAAGAGGAAATAATTTTTTTGTACATAAAATAGATATTTATAAATTTAATCCTAACAGTTGGGCAAGTTTTTTCATGAAAACCTTCCTATTGAACACTCAGTTTTCATTGTACAGTCGAAGTGTGAGCTCCCTTCTTGAACCTTAGTAAACTAAAGTCAATTCTTTATTTATTTTTACATTAAATCGCTTAACTTTCTTTTAGACAAATTTCGATAAAATATAGAAAAAATTTAATTTTTATTTGTTCTCTCAAAGAATCATAAGGTAACAATGAATTTTACTTCATTTTTTTTCTATACATTGAATTTTTATCCGAATTAAATTAATGCTCATTAAGTAGCTTGGTCAATTTTCAACCTTCTATACAGCAAAATATTAAATAGTGAAGCTTTCCTTGATTTCATTAAGCAATTTAATTAGTGTCTAGTTGTAGAACTAAAATTTTTTGAACAACTTGCAAACAAATTATTCTAAAGAAGCATAAAATTCATACGACTTTGATATATACGAATTGTCAGGATGTAAGCAAAGTTAGCTCTTTCATAAAGCAATCACTTCTGTTTTAATACTGGGTTCACAAATAAAAAAACTTAAACTTACTTTAGCTTCATAAATATCTTTTCTTGAACGAGAATCTTTGGAATATCTAATGCTTTCAGAACTTGAACTTCTTTTTCTATGCTCTTTGTGGCTCTGGTCAATTTTAGCAGAAGGTTTTGATTTTTTACGAAGCATATCACTAGAATAATGTTAAAAATAAATAATAAATAAAGATGAGTTATTTTATAAATATAAAGGTAAAATTATATTATTGATAAAGAAATCTTAATAACAATAGTTACAAGATTTGGAATTTATCATTCTGACACAAAGATCATTTAACTACAATGTAACAAGAAAAGAACAAAAATAAAAATGTACCTCTCAACTTCAGAATTGCTGTTTCTACTACTCGATCTGCTACTGCTCTCTTCCTCTTGTGAGTCACTTTCACTAGCTGAGCTACTTGAGCTAGAACGTGTATGCTGTTTCTTATGGTTGCTATAAAAAAGAGAAATTAATATAGGACAAGTTTTTCAAAACAAAAAGATAAAGGAAACAAACTATTTTCCAGCATAAACTAAGTAAAGTAAATGAACAATAATTATTGATCACTTTTTGTCAAGACTTATTAATCACCCCTGTTTAAGTAAAATAAATACTATACTAAAACAATTGAAATAAGGCAAACACTATTTAAACATTTCATTTTCTTATAAAGATTTTTTTTAAAAAAGATATAAACTTTACCAAATAAAATATTTTAATTAATACAGTGGAAACATCTGTAAAATAGATTTGTCTGAAAAACTTTTTCTCCCTTTAAAGTCCTAGTTTTTCTCTCATTTTTTATTGATATGGTATGACAATTAAGAGCAGTCCAAATTTTTGAATTTCTCCAGAAAAAGTTGTGCAAACATGAAAACAAATTGTTTCATTGAAGTTACTCTTTAATAAAAAGATTTGAGGGAAAGTTTCTTTTGTTGATAAAACAATTTATCAAAGTAATGGCTTTTAAAGAAACAATAACTTTCAACTTCTTTGCATTAAAATTTTAAACTTAACTGTACACGCAAGTTAATTATCAAGTCAGGGGCAAAACTATAAGAATCTCTTGTGATTATTCTGATGATTACAATATTTTTACTCTAGAACCCACCACTACTAAGTGAAATCTGAGGTCCATGATTGACCTAAACAGTATGCAAATCAATCTGCCATTGCAAGGATTGGAAGAAATGGAGGGTAAATTATAATTGTTTTATACCAATCCATACATAAAAGCTTTATAGCTGCAAAACTATTAATTATATTGACTTGCATTTGATCTTATTAAACTAAACGTAAATAAAATGTTTAAGAATAAAAAAAAGAATGTCTTCAATGTCAGATATGGAAAGTACATAAGTAAAACCATTAATCCATTCAACTTGTAATGCCTAACGTGTAAATAGATACAAGTTTAAATTTGCATTTTTCAAATATAAAATCTTGATAACTTCTATACCATTCATTTAGAATTGGATTCATTTGATTCAGAGCAAAAAGTACTTGTAAACAATACCTCATTTATCTAGATAGCAATATTTAAATATCTCACCCCTCCTTCCAGTATAACTCTTAAAGATAGAATGTAAAGTGTCCCAATGTCTTTAAATCATATTTATATCATGTACTACAAATAATAAAAATTTAATTCTTATGTCACAAAGTGCACTTTTAAGTGGAAAAATTGAGAGAGCAATTACCTTTTATGCTTGTTTTTTTCTTTGCTTGGTTTTTTTAACTTTTTCTTTTTATGAACTTCTACTGATTCAGATCTGTTTAAAAAATGTACATAATTTAATAATATTACTAGTCCACAGTGTAAATAATTTAGAAATCCAATTGTTATGACATTGTTTATGTAAAACTACGACATTTTAAAATATGTACATATATACATAAGAAAGGCTAAAAACATTACCGAAGTTCCAAAAAAGGATGGCCAATGTAGAAAAAAAAAAGAAATAAACATGTTAATGGTCTTTGAATATATAATCTATTTCATTTCAAAAACATGTTAAAAAACTGAGTCCAATTCTGTTTATGTGCAATGTTAAAAAATAATTTTTAGTCCAAATAATTTTTAAAAGCAATTGTCTTTTCATGCAAGATAATTAGATTAGGTTGATCAGTGAACATCAAGCAGAGAATGAAAGGGGAAAATGAATAAAAATCTATTGATAAATCAAAAAAAGATTTTTTTCATAAATAATGTTCTTTCATCTTTTTTACAAAAAAATAATATATGGTATATGTAAAACAAACTCATTTAAAATAAATAAATAAATAAAAAATATTAATGGGCAATTTCACGATTCATGAAAGTTATGTTTGTAACTTTCAATGCATACAACTCAGATTAAAAATATCAAACTATTCTAATAACTTTCTTTTAGGTAACTATCAGTATTATTAACACTTACTCCGATTCTAGAATTTTCATAGGTGAAATTTTCCTAAAACCTAAAAACTGAGATTTATGGATGTAACACAAATATATTAATCTGTTACATAATATGTTTAATTTTCAAAAAATTCTAAAGCCTACGAAAAATAGTGAAAATCAGAGGAAGTGCAAACAGCAACAATTTTTATACAGAGTTATACACATTTAAAGTTTGCAAGCATGAGATTCATAAATTGTGGAATTTCAATGATTGAAGCACTTTAAACTTTTTGTTAAAAAAATTATGGAAAAGACCCCTGAGTGATGATGTTCATATCTGGTAAAATAAAATATTGTACAACAATTTGAGATAAACGTAACTGCAATGTATACATTGATGTAAATCATTGTGTTTATAGAGCATATTTTCACAAATCTAAATTTTCTTTACGTGAAAAAAAATTTGTGTTAAGTAATTAACGATATTTAATAATTAATAATATTGAATAATTAACAATATTTATAATTGGCAGCATAAGAAAAAGCTTTCTTTCTGTTTTGGTTTTAGTAAAACAGAAAATTTAGAGTTTCCAAGTGAAACAAAACAACAGAAAAAAAACTTTTCAAAATGTCTTTAAATTCTGTTCTTACATCATTAAACAGAAAAGAGAAATAAAAACACTTTTCAATAGCCTCTTACTTAGCTAACAACTTTCCCAGCATTTTTATTTTAGAAATATTAATGGAAAGTTAAATTTGCTAAGTAGTCTAATAAATAGTAATCTAATAAATCCAGTCATAAAAAAAAATTAAAAAATTAAAATTTTGGAAATTTTAATAAACTTTTTTTTTCTCCAACTTTTTCAAAGCACTGATTTTTTTAAATTGATCTTCAGATTTAGTTAAATAAACTGCATGCAAAACCTTGTAAGCATGAAAATTAAGTGTTAGATAGATTATTGTTTTCAAACAAGAGTAATTTTTTTACATAACACTTTGAGCATATCACACCCAAATATTGCTATGTTTATTTTTTATCATCTTACCCTTTGTGAACAAACTGATCTGCTGAGAAATTCTGTTGAGTTGCATTGATGTTCTAATAATATTTTTGTAACCACCAGAACATGAGGGTAAATTTTTAATACAGTAGGGAACCGATTATCTGGAACGATCGGAACCGTCACTATTCTGGATAACTGATTTTTCCAGTTTTATGAATCACTACAAAAAGCCGTTTTTTTATTGTTAAATCCAACTAAATAAAAAAATATTTGGAGATAATCTTAAAAAGAAGAAAAAACGAAGTAACACACTAATGATTATTTCCAAAATGATGGTAAGGTAAACATCGTTCAAAAAAGAAAGAAAATTCCTAAAATCTTATAAGGAAAAAAAAATTTTTTTAAAAAATGGGGGGGAAATTTATCGAATATCGTTCCGGTTTTTTGGTTTTCTGATTTCCGGATAACGAGTTCCGCACTGTACTACATTTTCATTTCTAATTTTCAAACTCAATCATTATCCATATTGGTGATTAATTGCATATGAATGAAAGCAGAAGTTAATGACAAAAAAATAGAAGGCTCCTAACTTACTATTTCTGATTCATTGTTAAAAATGTTTAAGATTTACATTTATCTATTGTGTAGTTATTCATTAACAAACAATAGTTTTTCTGACCCTTTCAATACTCAGAATGCATTCAAAAGACAGCAATGCATTTTGTTTAAATGCTTCGAATATTTTTATGATCTGATTAAATATATAAAATCTTCTGAACAGTAAAATTCACTGAAAATTTAAATCCTAATATCAATAACAGAGTTTTCTAGATTATCGAGCCAGTTCTCCATCACCTCATAAATACAACATTCGTGGAGGGATGCAAAGGAAGTTCTCTATGATCCATTCTGGTTTTAGAAAACTGCTGTTTACCTCTGTTAACCTTCTATAGCTTCATCTGTCATACTCTAATTTCTATTCTCAAACTATCAATCCAAATAATTATTTATTTTTTAAATATTAAATATTTTATTAAAATAAACACAATAATTTTAGTTGGTGCAGCATATGTGTCAGCAATAACTTGCAAACCATTAAATTATATTTACCTATTTGCAGTGTAAAAAAAAAAAAATTATTTTCTAAAACCTTATTTGAACCCATCAGATAAATTTTAAACAAAGAAAATATAATTTAAATATTTGTAACAAGTGAGGATTAAATATGATATTAATTCAATAAACACAAGTACATTTTGAGGAAAAAATAGCAAAACCCCTAAGTTTCATATTCACTATAGCATACATTTTATATGCACTTACCTATTCATTTTTAACAAAGTTAGAAATTTTTTTAACAGGTTCAAATTGGCATAACAGTCATATCAATGAAAGAAATCTTATTTCTAACAACTGAGAGAAACTCATACGATAACATATCATACATAGAATTGTCCATGAGAAATCATATATGATCAAGACAGTCGACCCTATCCTCGACTGCTCTCTAGAGAAGATCTCTTTGTGGATCTGGTCTATATGCTTGATATGCTCAAAGTTGCTGGCGTCATTGACTTGATTTAGCATCGCTAACAATAGAAGACTGGCAACAACAACAGAATTTTCAATTCAATTTTCCCTTCCTAATTTACTTATAATTTAAAATTGACAGAGATTTAAAAATAGTAATTATCATAAATTCATCGGACAAACTATAGTAAGATAAAATAGTCATACTGTTGTAACACAATATTTTGGACAAATTTTCTCTTAAGAGACTTTACTACACTGGTCTTCAACCAATTTATAAATTTTTTTAAATAATCTAAAAATAAGTTAAGTACGGTGTAAATATTCACTGAATGTAAAGTTGAAAACTTCAATTCCAAGCATTTAGGGTATTGACATTTTTCCCCCAGTTGTACACATATTTTTAATATTAGATACTCAGAGAATATAAAATATGTTCAGAAAATACTAAGCTTAAAGAACGTAATTGTTCTTATAATCATCATTTAAAAATCTATATTTTTTTTTAGAAAAGTAGTAACATTTACCTTTAATCAATATGCCCTTGCACACAGCAAAAGAAAGGGAAGAGATTAAAATTTCTGATCATTTTAATTAAAAAATTTGAACATTGTCTCACTAGAAATAATTTTGCAATTTTTATCTTTTAACCAAAAAAAAAGTTTATGTATTTAAACACATGGTAGAAAATATTTATTTATTACACAATTAAAAGAAGAAATGGTGAATATAGGTAAAATATATATTACTACTAATCAATAAAGAGTTTATGCACACTATTTAAAAATCACAAAAGTATGTGAAATAATGGCTAATAAAGTTGAAAACACATAAAGTTGAAATATTTATTAAATTTTGACATTGTTATAATACATAAAACTATTTTGAAAAAAATATAATGCATATTGATAAATTTTTGCATTTTTAAAAAATATTTAAACGATGAGAGTGAATAAAATACCTGCATTATGTTTAACAAAATGTTAATTCAAACCTCCTAATATTAAACCTCAGGGTTAACTTTTTACATATTTCCTTCAAAAATATCAAGAAGTCAAGTTTTATATTTTTCTTTTGGAAGAATACAAGTAAGACTAACATTTAGTAGGTTAAATAAAAATTACATAACTATAAATAAACATGAATTAAAAAAACAATTTTCATTTAAGATATTTAAGTTTTTAAAAAATTTCTAAAATAAAATCTTTTACCAGATACAAAAGAAACTTTAAAAAAATATTTTGAAGTAATTAAAATATTAGAATTTTCAATTTTCATATCATAGAATAGCATTTATTATAAAACATCAGAACAAATATAGTTTAATAATATCCAAAATTAACTTTGATCTAATAAATAAGGGTTATAATGTTAGTATTTATCAATGTTAGTATTTATTAGTATTTTATTAATCTTAAATTTTAAAAAAAAATCATTGATAGACTCTGAGAGGAAAAGAATATTTCAAAAGAAATAAAATTCTTACCGTTCTTTTCTGTGCCTTTTTGCACTTTTCTTTTTCTTAGAAACAGTATCACCTCTAAAATAGAAATAAAGCTTAAGATATTTTATCAGGGAATGAATAATATATGCAGGAGAAAAAGAAAAAAAATAATAAGTGATTTCTAAAAAAATTAAAATATTTATATAATTATGAAATCTTATAAATAACTATCAGTCAATAAAAGTGTGAAGTTTAATTATATCTGTAACTGCAACTAATTTTATAGGTTTGGTGATAAGATACTAGTAGAATTGACTTTCAAACAAATAAACAAAGCTGCAAAAATTACAAAATGTCATTATAGGAATAGATAAAATATACTTTACATTTTTGTTTGATGGGAACACAATTTTACCATAATTTTATTTCTAAAACACTTAAAATGCTAACTTATATTTTTTAGTAAGAATGCATACATAATCTGTAAATAATTTTTGAAGCACCTAAAAATATATATTATTAATGAGTTTTTAAATACTAATTGGTTTTCTGCTTTTTATTGAATTATAAATTGTATAATAACTGCAGATTAAAGACTGAAAAAGCATCCAATCTAATTTGTACATTTAACCCAGTTGGACAAATTTCAGTTTTTGAAGAATGTAAAAATTTTAATTTAACTGCATTATCTCGTTTTATAAAAAAAAAGGTTGTAGCTTTATATATATATATATCAGGGCGTGAAACTTTCATTCGTTAGTGGCGATCAATTATTTAAGGTAAGTTTTACCTTCCAAAATTTTGAGTTTTAAAATCTCCATGCCCTTAGGCTATAATGCTTAAATAAAGTAGCACATTAAAATGTTTTAAAATCAAGCAACAGAATTTTCTTTTATTTAGAATAAAAACCTGCTTTTCAACTATGAAACCATTGCTTCTAGAAACTTTGAAATCTTAAGCCAACCTTATTTTAATTTAATATTACAGTGCCCGCCGCTAATAAAATCACCGGATAATAAAATCAGCCGCTTTATAAAATCAAATCGGCAAGAACCGAATCGTTACAATATTAATACATGTTAAAAACATCCTTTAATAAAATCAACACCGCCGCTTTTTAAAATCAAAATTTTGACTACATAATAAATCAAAAGTGCGATATTTCAGCTTCTTTTGTCCTTATTTATAAAATTTTAATTTTTCGAAGTTTAAAGACTTTTTTAGAAGAAGCAATAGTTACTCACAAGCCTGTGAAACTGGTGTGGTTAGCACTTTCCTGCGATATTCATAGTGTAAGAGTTAAGGAAAAATGTGGGTGGTAAGCGGCGAGTTCATAGAAATCAATTTATCAATGTTAATTCCTTGGCTTGAATGAAGTTTGGAGAAACCTATCTCACTCAACAGGGGATCGAATTCTTATCTTACTTTTTATTGAATGAACCATAGAAGGGAGAGAAGTTTCTTTTGTTATCTATCTTAACAGAGAACATGAATAGATTTCCAAAAACTGTCTGTGCTCATGTTCCATATTATTTAAGCCGTTTGAGTAAATTATAGTTAGAGTTAGAGCACATATCATTTTTAAGTTCGTTTGGTGTTAAATTTTATCAGCATGCCGAAAAGGAAGGATTTGAGTCTTAAAGATAAATTCGAAGTGTTGCAAAACTATGATAAGCTTCCTAAATGTAGTCAACGTGAAGCTTCAATGGAGATGGGGCTCATAACTGTTTCGAAGAAATGATCAGCAATGAAGAAAATGAAATGGACGAGAATTTTTCACGTTACGTAGCTATTGACGATAACCTGCAAACATCAGGAGAAAAATCTGATTCTGAAATTGTTACAGACATCAAAAATTGCAAAGTTATTTCCCATCAAGAAATGGAGGAATCAGACTCAGAAGATGAAATAAACTCATCAGTGCCATCTTCAATGGAAGTCAGAAAAGCACTTAATGTATTGCGGCAAGCTTTAGAACAAAGAGGAGGAATATTGAAAACTATAAAAACTTCTATAAACTCTCAAATGATGTTGAAAAGTTAATTTTAAATACTGCAACTCAAGCAACCATTGATCGGTTTTTTGCAAAACTTTTGTAAATTTAATCTTATGTAGGGTTTTACTTTATTAAAATAATTAAATTAGTTAAAATAAAGCATTAATCTGATCATTATTTCAGCTTTTAAAGTGTGTGCATTTAGAATATATCGTAAAAAAATTTTTTTTTTCTCCAAATGTTGAATTGCCTCTTAATAAAATCAGCCGCTTAATAAAATCAAAAGAGCATAAAACGAAAGTGATTTTAATAAACGGCGGGCACTGTATTATGATTGCAATAAATGTGTTTTGAATTTGAAGCCCCTATATTCTTTTATGATTTCAGCTATTAAAAAGTTTTTCATACTTTTTATGAATGTAAAATTGTGGGGAGAAACTAATGAAGAGTTAGCACTTTTTTCAGATAAAATAAAAAGAAGAAGAAAAAAAAAGAGAAAAAAACACAAAACATCAATTAAGAAGAGAGGGAAGAGGATCTTTGTAAAATTGTGCAAATTCAGAAATACATCTTTAAAATGGAAGCGCAGAGCGCAGTTTAAAAAAATAGTTTATTAACTAAACAGCAAATTAAAATTGAATAAATGTAGTCATACTTCAGTAACTGTTCTAGGATTCTTCAGTTCATGAAAATTTATTTTTTAAAAATAAAAATTCGGGGATCATTATTTATCCCAGAAATGTACTGATTAGGAATTATCCTGAGTCACCCTAAATTTTGCCTCACAGCCAATTACAGATTAATATCCTTATATTGTGATTCGCGACTCTTCAACTAGGTTATATACAGGGACTCATCCAGAATTTCATGTATAAAAAATTTCCACAAAAATTTTCATTTCATAAAAATTAATTGAAATTCTATCATAAGTACCTTTCTCGACTACTATGAGATTTCTTCTTTTTTCTCTTCTTATTCTTTTCCTTTTCTTGAGATTTTTCAGGCGAAGAATCACTGCTTGAATCTGGAATAAGCCTGCCATAGAAAAAAAATTTTTTTTAAGTAGTTCCTTATTTATATTAAATCATGGTAATTAATTACAGAATAAATATATTTTAAGATTGTTACTTATTTCTATTATTAAAAACTTAAATATTAACAGAAACGACCAAAGTAACAAACAATAATAATAAACTAAGTCAACATTTTTGAAAAAATTCAGAAGACAAATAAAATTCCATTTCTTAAAAAGACAATAAAAATTATTCTATAAGCATTTAGCAAAAAAAATAAAATAATAATAATAATAATAATAATAAAATTTAAAAAAAACTATCATAAAAATAAATAAATAAATAAAATAAAATAAAAAACTTTTTACGTGAATTTCTTTTACCAATTGACCACAAAATCATTTTTAGAAAATACCAGTTATTTGATATAAGTTGTAATAAAATAAAAATAAAATTTTAATAAAGCTTTTCATAAGTTGACTGAATTTTAAATGACTGTCGAAGAATTTTTCAAGTTTTACAACAGTTTTTACAAAAATTTTTGAACTTCAAAAACGTATAATTTTTCATAATTATTAAGAAAGCCATTACTCATTTTCAGAATGGGGGGGGGGGAATCTGAAAATCGTGGAGCATAAAAGTCTTCTCTGCTGCCTTGCTTGCATATTGCCAACCTTCCAAAATAAAAATTCATATTTCTTAACAAGGATTCAATTTGTTAAAAATTGAAGGTAGTTTTCTATCAATAATTTCCAAACACAAAATCACATTCTACAAGACAAAGTTAACATTTTTTATGCAGATATTAATTTAAATAAATGGAACATATTTAACATGCTATTAACTTATAAAAGTTAAAAGCATGCAAATAAAATATAAGAAAGAAAATAAAGAGAAGTCACCAGTTTCCAAGGTTACAGAATCTTAATTTTTGAGTTAAAAAATTAATTTTTGGTATACAAGTAATCATATTGCTTTTTAAAAGAAAATTTAAAAATTCAAAATTCCTTTTTTACTCCCTTTATAATATTATTTTGAAGGTAGCAATTTTGCTGATATTTTTGAGAAGTTATAATAAGGAAGGAAGGCTGATAAATAGTGCCGAAATCAACATATAAATTTAACTAAACTTATTTTCAACAAGAGCCTTAAAAGCAAAAAACTATTTTAATTAGACAAAATACATAGACAATATGATAGATAATTACGTATATTTCTTTTTAGCTTCCTCGGCAGCAGCTGCTGCAGCTTCTTTGGACTTCCTTTCTGGATCCAATGAGCTCCCTTCTACAAAGAATGGACTGATACCAAGAGCTTCTCGCATCTTTGCATTTTTTTCCTGGCTGGCTTCTGCAATTTGGTGGCTTTCTTTAACACTGAAACAGAAAATGAAATATTAACAACAAATATTTTTATTATCTGGACATGAGTACTTCTTTTCGCATGAAATCAGACATATAAGGTAGTTATCCCAAAACATATTAATTATGCTGAATAATATAGCAATATGTTGGATCTTTTTATAATTCTTGATTTGTAAACATTATGAAAATAACACAGATTTTTGAAGAAAGAATTGTTATCTGGCTTGCAGTTGTGCACCTTTGGAATATCAACACAAATGTTTTTTTAACAATGAAATAATAAGTCATGTAATCTTATGTTCAATATTAATGCATTTTACTTTTATTTGGAGAAATAAAGAAAGAAAAGAAATGACATATTTTATATTCCCTTTTCTTTTTCTAAGAACTACAATAGCATAGTGGTTAAGGTACTGAGTTGTCATTGTGAAAAATCGAGGTTCCATCCCCGACTTCAAAGCACTCACAAAGCAGATTTAGATAAAAGGACAAATTTTCAGTGAACACAAGATTTTAATTAAAAAACTTCCTTCAAGCATTTAAATTTTTTGTAGCTACTTTCAACCTTTTAGTCACCACTTAATATTGACAAAATTCGCTTGAAGAACACATTTCTTTCAAAAATGTTTTTAATTTTTATAAAAATCCAAACTCATTATTTGCTTACATTTCTTAAAATTTAAAAATTTATTTGTAGTTATAAAACAAGTTATTGAATTTAAAAAATTTTGTTCTTGTATCCGAATCTTCAAAAATTGACTGCTGGTTGGAATAGGGAAATTCTGCTCCGTATTTTATATTTTCATAATGAGTAATATTAAAAAACTTTCCAGGATAGTGACAAATTTTCCCCGAAAGGCATACACGTATATTACGCACATCTGGCTTGAAGTCCACACAGTTTCAGATCAAGCTGTGTCAACTTGTTGAAAAGCAGAGATGGCTGATATGCATAGCCATTATCACATTGTTGGTCTCGAAATGTTGAAGTCTTGACTTACATGACCCTCTTAACCTACAAACTGGCTGTTGTAGGAGCGCTTACATATTTTTACTTTCTCTCTCTGAAGAGAGAGATGTTTGATTAAAAGAGACATTAGTAATTTTAAGAAGTATCTCCGTTTTTTAGCTCACTAAGATATTTTAAAATACATTAACGCTTTTCTAAATAATCTTGTCAATACTGATTACTTAGAGCACCATGTAGTTTAACTATGAATGTAGGTAGTTTAACTCTCTCAGAAATTCTATTCTTTTCTGATAAACTAGGACAATTGAATTTATATCAGTGTGATTTCTAAATACAACAAAATAAAAAAAAACATTTATAAGTATTTTACAAAAAAAGTAAATAAATCATAGTGTTTACTAATAAATTTAAAAAATTTTACTAAAATAACAATAAGCATCCCATTTTTTAATAATATCACAAATCCAAAATTGAAATTTGTTTATTAGAAGAGGGTTTAAACATTCAAAATTTTTAAAGTAACATAATTTCTTACAAAAATAAATTTAGAAATTCAATTAACTTTTTGTGAGAGCCCAATTATTGACATGATCGGTAGTGAAAATAAAAGACTAAGATAAATATTAAACCATTAAAAAAAATTTTTTTTTAAAAAGTCAAAAAATAAAATTTAAAAAATTTACAAAAAGCACACCTCTTTCGATTTCTATAATTAATTGTTTTTAATAAATTATAATAAATTATATAATAAATAATTATTTGTAAAATATATTCCATAACAGATTATTTGCAAAATTATATAAATATAATATCATTTCAAACGAAAAAAATATCTCTAATTATCCATTTCAGGTTAATTAATCTACGTTCCGCTATTATCAATTTTGAAGTTTTAAATTCAATTAGGAAACTAATTAAACTTATTATTTTTATTTATCTTTTGTTAATTAACAAAATAATCATATGATAGGGGGGAAATCCTTTGAAATCAAATAAGAATTAGTCGCATCACAAATTCTAATAAAGTTTGAGAACAAATTATGGCGCTATTTTGGAGTTCCAAAAATAGAAACGAAAAATACAAGAAAAATGTCATTTCCAAATGTCTCCTCACAACAACGACCATTCTCAAATCATTTGTTTCAGAAACCCGCTATACATCGAAAGATGAACAGATACGCAAGATCGAGCAACTGCATTTTTACATCCATGTTGTTATAAGTATCACCATATTTATTTACCTGTAAAATGTGGTCATAGTTCGTTGATTGTCACTAGTCTGATGTGAAGGCCTGTCTCCAGTTCCGGTAACATTAAGTCCTCGGAGAAAAGCCGGTGGAATTCTGGGTAACAGGACTCCCCACATCTAAAAATCGATCCGTTTTTGGGGACGGCGCAGTGCTAGGCAGGAAAGGCGACAATCCCATCTCCAGGAAAATTGAAAGGCAAGCGATTCGTAAATCGAGATATTTTACACGGGCTGTTTTATCGAATTAAATTAGGGGAATAATTTAAAGTTTTTTCTTTTATAGATAAGCAGAAAGGAAGTGCTAATAGCTTTGAATCTTGAATGGTGATCGTTAGCAACGATGATTTAAAAAAAACAGGAACGACGCGATCAATTAGTTGCTAAAATCTCCCTCGTAGTTGTTACAAAACAGAATTCCTAGACGATCAATGGAACAAGGTTTATAATATATTTAATTTTAGCACAATTTTAAGATACAATTTTCGATAAATTTTTCATTTATTTTATTTATTTTTTAAATTTAACATTAATCAAAACAAAATACTGCCAAATGAAATACTATTGCATGATTTATCGACATTTATTTTTAATAAAATAAAAATACAGCAAAAATTAAGGGAATTTACATACAGTAATCTTACGGTAGAAGTTTGTTAGTACAGATTATTTGCATAGCTTGCTTTAGTAAAATAATAACAGTCGTATCAAAACTACAACAAAAAGTAGAACGTCAAAATTTTTTGGAAAAAAAAAAAAAAAAAGTGAGGAGAAGAAACGATTATTAAATTTAGAACTGGTATTGCTAATCTGCTAATCGAAAGATTAAAAATAGTTAAATTATGTTAATTATAAAATAGTTACAGTTCCTACCCCTTTTTTGAAACGTTGAACGGAAAAGCAGAAGAAAAATATTGCATTTTCAAATAAATTAAAAAATATCTAAGTTTTTTCGTAACCTTTCTCTCTTTTCTGAAGTAAAAGTTGGAATTCAAATTGCGTAAATTCAGGAATAGTACTCTAGTACACATACTTGCTGTTTTGTTTGAGGAATGTGACTTAGGTAGAGTTTATTTTAAAATGCAACAATCAGTTTCTGGAAGGAAAAAAAAAAAAAGCTTTGGAAACAGTTTTATAGAAACAGGATTTTCACCCTATGGAACTGCCTTGGAAAAATTATGTTCTGTCAAAAACGGTAACATACTAAAATTTCATGATCGAAGCTTTTAGAATTAGTAGTATTCCGAGAAGGAGTACCTGAAAGTACTCCTTTTCACCTCTTGGGGCAAGTTGGATCACATAATAAAAATATATTTAGAAACAATGCTGAAGGAAATACAGTAATTGCATTATATTTTTAGTATTTTAAATGAAAAATGCATTTTTAAGGAATAAAAGTCTAATAAAATAAATTTTCAGTTGTAAAAAAAAATCATTTTTATTTTACACAATTATTTATTGAATTTTATTAAAAACAAAATTTTGGCACTTACGCTAAATGATTTGACTCAGTAGCTAAAATTATTAATAACAAAATAAACGTAAATAAAAAATAATAAATGTTTTTCGCAAATTAAATGTGTCAAATGATAGATCAAGCAGTAGCTGTGCAATGAAAACCGTGATTTTTCCTAAATAGAGTGCATGAAAAATAAGAATATCATCTTCATACCTTATTATTTATCCACGTTTGTTGGATATAAAAAATATTTTTATCACCTTTGTACACAAATACAGTTTAAATTAAGACATAAAAAAAGACAAAATCTAAAAATCATATGTCTCTAAAAATTTTGTTAGCTATAATTCCTTAAAAAAAAATTTATTATTCTTTAAAAATATTTCTTTTTTTTTTTTTAAATTTTGTTTCAGTTTAACATATTATACAGTTTAACATTTAATATTTCAGACAATTTTTATTTTTTATTTAATGTGAATAAAACTAGTTTAATGTAATTGAATTGATGTAATTGAAATTAATAAAATGCATATTTCTTTACTAGATAAATACTAAGTAATTTTTAAATATTTGTTAGTTTATATTTCCTATAAGTTTGTTACTCTTCATTTCAGACGTGTGTAACATAAATTTAAAAAAAAAAAAAAAAAAAATTCATGAAAGACTTTTCTCCTTCATAAAAAGTATAAATTTAAATGATTATTATAACTAAAATAATGCTTATAAGAAAGTTTCTCTGAATTATTACGATGGTCTAACCAACCCCCGGTTTTTAATATACAAACTTACCCCGCTTTCAGAAAAAGACCATAATTTTTTTTTTCTTCATCATATTAATCTAAATAGTTGCAAATAATTGTTAGGTGAAAGAGCTAAACCTTTTAAAATAATTGCAATTCATTGCTCGATTTCAATAGAAATAAATTTTAGAAGGTTAAGCATTAGAGTAGTAGATTTGTATAAATTACTTAGCAGAGCTAAAGTACAAATAGTTGCAACAAAAATAGTCCACTTAAACCTAGTCAAGCGATTTTCTTACAGAATTTGTAGTATAAGTGGTGCACCATGTTAATGAAAGAAAAAAAATATGTAATAGCATAATAATATTTAATAGATAATTGAACCTAATCAAACATGTCCCGAGTTCCAACCTAATTTGTCTTTCCCTATATTTCTTATATATGCAACACATATCACAAAATTATAAAAATTCCTATAAATATAAAAAGCAAATTTCACACACAAGTTATTAATGATAACATATCTTGAATTTTCTTCCGAAACATTGGGTTTCTAAAATATATATTTCATTAGTTAGAAATAAGTAAGAAAATAAA